ATGCTGAAGGCATCACCCCTCGACCAGAAGGGGGTTTTCATGATAAGAGCAAGGTTATGGGGTGGGATATTGGAGTGGAAGTACGGTCGATGATATAAATCCTGCACTACCCATAATAAGGAATATACCATAGTTCCCTTAGCTTAGGGTCCTTAAGGTAATGCAGGATTTATATTATCAACAGTATCACGGCTCTTTCGCGTCATGGTCAGGAATGCAATGTGATCAACAATTCACACATACTTGGAGGATCATGGGACTTAGTAAGTAGGGTTAGAAGTACCTTAATTGAAGTTCTAAGTAATTATAAGTATAGTTACCTTTCTTATAACCCTAGTTACTAAGTCCCATGATCCTTTAAGTAGGACAGCATGCTACGTCTTCCCAAAGGAACCACTCCCTGCCCTAACATGATTCTGTGTAGTAAGACTCCTACCACTATTATTGAGGCTCCACGTTGATTGGGGTCCGCTACTGTCTGTCAGTCCTACCCTACACCCTTAACCCTTAACCCTTACCCCTAAACCCAAAACCCTAAACCCTAAACCCTACACCTTGATCCCATGGTATATTCCTTCCTTATTATGGGTAATGTTGCATCCCACCGGCCTCTTTTTCACTGCTGGGCTGCGTAGCTGCTGCAGCTCGAGGATCCTGTCTCAAAGGGTCCTAGGTACTGTTGGGGGGATCTTTCCCCAAATCATAATAGTAAGTCCTAATACATGGAAACCCTGACATTCTCCCTAAACCCTAAACCCTACATTCTAATATACTATATAGCTACATAGAAGCCCTACATTTTACTATATCGGTACTTTGGACCCCTCGGGGTTTGACCAGTCGCACGAATCAGGCTTGTCTTTGGGGTTCAGGGTTCAGGGTGAGCCCAAGAAGGCTTCGTGGGCCGTGGGCCTGAGTGAGCTTTTGGGGCATCGCCTTGCCTACTGCACATGAGTTGAGAGTTTTGACTCTAGGGTTTAGGGTTTAGGGTTTAGGGTTTAGACTCTAGGAGAGTTAGATTTTCAGTTTAGGGCGGAGGGACAGTTCCGGGTTTAGGCTTCCTTTTGCGGTACCGCAGGTACTCAGGTGGAAGGGATAGCGCGTCGCTACAAGTGGGCTCTCCAGTCCTGCTGCTGCTGCCGCTACAACCACCACCACCACCAATAGAGTCAGCATCAGCAACAGCAGCAGCGCCGGCATCAACCCCAAGATCGTTACCAACAGCAGCAAAGCCAACAGCACTAACATCAGCAGCACCTCCGCCACCATCACCACCAACAACGACGACAACAAACGACAGTTATTACAACGACAGGCACAACCTCAAACATGAACACAAGAAGAACCACATCCGGCAACGACAACGACCACGACGACGACGGCGACCACGTCGACGACTATTGCATAAGACAACGACAACAGCTAGTGCGGCTACTCATGCTACCACAATGATGGCGATAGCCCTCTAAATCCCAAGCCCCAAACTCCAAAGCCCAAAAAATATGTGGTGCCTGTTTGCGCCCTCATTCCGAAACCTGAAAAACTAGACCTAAAGCCTAAACCCGAAATCCTAAACCCTGGCCCCAAAAAGTTGTTGCGCCTTCGCCTGGGCTTTGATGGCCTCTCGGAAAAATCGCACCTCCTCGTGACCTCATGCGCTCCATCGCCGTAAAAGGGGTTGAGGGTTATATAGGGTCTAAGCTCCGTTGTTGATTTAAGGTGGGCTTTTAAGGGGGGGGGGGGGGGGGG